TTTGACCCTTTATTTCCTTGATACAGTCCCTATATTTATGTGTTTTTTTTTAGTTTGGCCTTTAGTTTTGGATTTCCTCAATCAAGTCCCTAATTGCTCATCAAACTTTAATTTTTATGCAATTAAGCCTTTAATTTGACTAAATTAACTCCTAACAATTGCAATTTGACCCCAGACTTTAATTTCTTCTAATTAAAACCTAAGTTGACTTAAAAAATTAATTTTCTTATAATTAAGCTATCAATAAAATTCAAATAAACCTTGAAATTTTTTAATTGAGTCCATAAACATCTAATTTTGAATTTTTCAACTCAATTGAATTTTTTTAGCCAATAAGGCATTCATTAGTAAAAAATACATTGTTAAATTTTTCAATCTTGTATATTTGATTTCCTTAACTAGTCTTTGATGATTTCCTATACATTATGATGAACTCTTATGATTGATATATATATTATTTTCTTTAAATATTTTTTCATTTTTTGTAAATATTTTTTGATTTTTTGCATATTTTTTTTAATTTAATTTTTTTAGGGTCCCAAAATGGGTAACAAAATAGCAGTAAAAAGAATATTTAAACTAAGTCTTCACTTGCTTGTTATTGGACTCTTTGATTGATTTGTTTATGAAGTCCTTCATGCTTGTTGATATGATCTTTGTATAAAACTTTTTTTTTTAGACTTATTCTCAGCCAAGCATAGTATTATTCTAATTTTTATATTATTATTATCATAAAAATATATAAAAACATAAATATATGAACTAAAAGTCAATAATGTTTTTATTTTTTTATGATAACAATAAATATATATAATTTAAATCTGAACAAATGTCTCCTCGTATTTTTTGCAATGTAATGTAATTTAGCACAATCTAAGTAAATATAAAAAGATTGCATATTCAATAATAATTTTATACATTAAGAAAATTAGATTTCACCCTAAATATATGCATATGTTATTGAAACCTATTTCTCTCACATATCTCATCTCTTCCTATTACTTACTTATTTTTCTTCTCCCCTCTGCATATTTATCTATATATCATATCTTTTTTTTTTGTCTCTCTAATGTGATGCATATCTATTTCAAGTTGTAGTACAGAACTCTATATTCTAGTTAACCATGTACTAGTTAAAGCCTTTTCAACCAAGAAAATAAGGAATGATGTCTTAAATATGGCTTCAAATTCATTTGCATTACTGATATGTACATATGCATCTAATTTTTACTTTTATTTGGATGACTTGCTTCTTGTTTTAATATTTCATTAGCTGTAATAATTTTCTTATTCATAAATTAAATATTTTTTATTTATTTTATTAAGTATTGGAATTTAATTAAAAAATCATAACACTAGAAATGAGTAAATTGTTTTTTGTTATGAGCCACCAAAACAAACGAGGCCATATAATTAAGTGTTTTTAGACATTAGCATAATAAAAATTTAAATATATAAAACTTTTTATATATATATATATATATATATATATCATTGTCCATGAAATATACAAGGAAATAACATAATTTAGAGAATTGGAAATGATATTTCCAACTCATAAGTCGCATGTGTTATTAACAACTCTCTTAAATTATAAAATGGTATATCATAGATTATAATAAAAAGAGAAGATAAAGGATATAGGAAAAAAAGAAATAAATAAAGAGACTTCAAAAGCACATCGAAACTCCAAAAAGAACATTATTAGTATCGTAAAAAAGATCTTAATAAAGCAAATTCAGTACCACCAAGGACAATAATTAAGGGTAACAGAAGTTGACCATACAAGTCATCAAAAAGTGGTGGGTGACTCACTTGCGTTTGGATGACTATATGACCACATCCTATTTACTGGTGATGACCTTTCTTGGTGTTGTTAGTTTATTTCATTGGGATCTTTTTTATCGCATGTGTGCGGCGTCCTATAGCATGTTGCTAGGAAGGCCTTGGATCCATGCAGCTGGGGCGTTAACTTCATCATTACACCAATGTTTGAAATATATCATGAATGGGATGTTAGTAACCATTAAAGCGGAGGAAACGGTCTCCATGATTAAGAATCTCGCTATACCTTTCTTTGAGGTAGAAGATTACGCAGGTGAGAATCTCTATGCCTTTGAGATCATAAACAATGAGTGGGTACCTAAAAGCATAGTGTTAAAAAAACCGAGGATTTCAGAAGCAGTAAGGATGGCAGCTAAATGCTTTTTGGAACATGGAATCCCATTCTAGTATGACCCATTTCAAAAATATTGCATTCTGGTTCAACTATCACTTCATTTGGTTTTGGGCCGGGTCCGACCCATTTCAAAAAAAAAATTAAAAATTTATTTTTTTTAATATTTTTAATTTCTCCTCTTTTTTATTTATGCCTTTTTGCTTAGTATCAGTCTGTATTTTATGTCATAAAAAAATACAAATCTAGTATTAAAAATACCCGGTTTTTGTAAAAACTTAAAAAAGGAAAGTTTAAAATAAACAAAAAAAATGTTTTTGTGCATACGGCCATCTTATTGCAGTAAGATCGAAGGTGCGTGTTTGGGCACGCCAAGCTTGTATATTTGGTGAATTCTGGGACCCTGAAATCTTTTGGTACCATGATGTTTGGTACCAAACACACCTCAGTTGCTCGTATTGGGTCGAACCAATCATTTTCTTCTACAACTCTCAATCGTTCTTCTAATGCAAATATCTTATCTTGGCTGATGAAACTGCCAGACCTCTTTTCAGAAGGCCTATCCGGTGTTAAATCCCCGGTAGGTGGCATGTGAGCAAACTGGATAAGGATGGTTGGCGCAGAATGTTGTTCCGCTACTAACTCTACCCCTGGAATCGGAGATGCCGTGGGAATGTGAGATACAGATAAACTTGTAGCTAGCTGAGCAGATGTTCCCTCCCCACTTTTTGCTTTTAACAGTTGTTCAAGCAGATTAGTCATCCGTGACACTTCATTTTTCACTGATTCTAGCTCGCTCTAGTAGCAGGATTCTAAAAGACCCCTTTCTTCGTGTTCCATTATTGTTTTGTTTCTGGTGTAATGGAACTTGGGTGGGGGACCTATGTTTCACTGGGATTATGCAAATGACATATTATAAACAAACATATGATGCAAAATAAGATGTATATGTGATGCGTATATTTTAATGAACTAATTCATGACTTTCGTAATCCTTTAAGCAAGATTTTTGAGCCAAACTGATTGCTGTAAAGAGTGTTTGCCAAGTTCTTTATCAAATTTAACTACCTAAAACTCAATTTGGAATGAAAGATGACCTTTTTATAACTAACCGGAGGTGGTAAAAAGTTTACAAAATAACAATAGCCTGAATACATTGTTACTCTAAAAGGCATTTCCCTTATTGACTAAGTCATCAATTCAAATCATTTTGGGGCACAACATGGTTTTGGTTCATTACACCACAACATATTTATGATGAATAATTGATCCTAAGTCTTTGAAACCCTCAAACTCCTTTTGAGACTGTAAAAATCCTTTCTTTCATGACCCAAAACATCTGGGATTGTCTAATTATATGAAGTGTCACGGATGACTAATCTGTTTGAACAACTGTTACAAGGAAAAAGTGGGGAGGGTAGGGACCAACTAGTCATCAGTATCTCAGTTTTATAATAGTAGATTACCACGCCTTTATCTGGTAAAAGATTTTTAATTTTTTTTTGAAATGGGTCAGACCCGGCCCAAAACCAAATAAACCCTATCACTAAACCAGAATGCAATATTTTTTAAATGGGCTAGACTCGGCCCAAAACCAAATGGGCTGTGCAAATAGTAACCAATATACAGTAACCACCCCCCCTCATTTGCTGTAGAACATGAATTACTTCACATTCTGCATGCAAACGCAAACGGTGGCTGAGCAAAGGAGAAAGAGATGGGGTAGCCGGAGGTTACCTGGGATTGGCGTCGAGGTCGTGCTGCTGGCGGCGGAGACACGATGGCCGGTGTTTTCTCTCTTTTTTTCTATATATACATATATTTTACGCGGGGACCCAAAAATGGGTTACAACACTGTTGATGACCTTTCTTAGTGTTGTTAGTTTATTTCATTGGGATCTTTTTGATAGTATCGATGGTGTTATTTAAATTTTGGTGTGCTTTTAAGATTTTTTTTTTCCTTTCTTTCTTCTATGACTTATCCTCTATTCACAAATCACAATAATGAGAGAGAAGAGAGAAAAATAAAGAAAAACATCATAGGAGTAAATAAAAAATCTAATGATGATACCATCAGTATCATAAAAAATATCTCGATGAGAAAAATACTATAACATCAATAAAGGTCATTAATGGTGATCAGAGTGAGTCAAAGGAGTGATTCAAATGCAAGTGAGCCACCTATCACCTTTGGTAACCTATCTTGATGTCGATGAGATCTCATTGAAATCCTTTTTACGGTGCTAATGGTATCGTAATTAGAGTTTCAGTATGACTTCAAAATCTTTTTATTTTTTTCTCTTATTTCTTCTCTCTTTTTTTCTCTCTCTTTTCCTTTTTATTGTAATTTGTGATGGGTCATTTTATAATTTGAGAGACACGCAACTCAAGAAATCTATGCATTGTGTTATTTTTTTTATTTTTGTAATGTGCTAAATTATTTTTAGAAAAAACCCTATACTAAAAAGAACTTGAAAACTCCAATTTCCATTTCCATGTTTCAAATTTCCCTAGCCACCTAGGTAGTTAAAAATCTTCATGTCGCACTTGAGGTTGTGGCCTAGCAAGGGAAGGAACTTATTCTCTTTTTTTGTATTTGGGTTCGATCTTATCTGTTAATGTCTATTACCCCCACAATGTTTTACTTGTCTACTAAGTTTGTAGAGTATTCAATAAATTTAAAAATTAATTGTAATATATATAAATTAACTCGGACATCTCATATTATCCCAAAAAAAAAAATCTTCATGTCAATAACAACTTAATCAGTCTCCAGAAGCAACAGGAATATCATAAAAGTAAAAGTTAAGAGTGCACTAAGATATTTTTTAAGCTAAAAAAGCACTGCTATATCTTTCTCGATTAAACAACAAAACAAAATCCTGCATGTTTGAATCTGATCATACACCAAATTAATAAAAGATAGGAACAAGATAAGAACATGAAAACAAATAGTAAGATACTAAGCAGTCATTCTTGGACTCTCGTTGTTCACATTCACACTCTTGCTGTTCGTAGAGTCAATGAGATTTGGAGACCACGCCTTCATAGAAAAAACATGCAAAAAACCTTTCCATCAAAGGCAATTACTAAGTAATTACTGGATGACCTAGAATGCAGATGAGTCCACAACCAGTGATCACGCTATAGGATCTTTGGATTGGATTACACTAAAGTATTGGTCGGGGATGATCCATAACCATTCATCATGCCTGTCCATGATCCTAAATTGTTTAGGTATCCAAATGTGTCCTTCCCACCATCAGAGTAACCCTGGTCTTGCCAGTCAAGGGACAAGAGCTTGGTGTTTGGCTTCACATCAATTGCATTTTGATCACTATTTCCTTGGCCATAAGGAAGCATTAACCTTTGGCAAGTTTCCATGAAAGTGCCACTGTTTCCATCAAGGGACATCCCAAATGGAGAGCAAAGACCACTAAAATTTGGTGCTAACCCATGATGATGACTCGTATCTCCGAGCCCACTAACCATACCCAAGTCACCATTCCCCATGAAATCATAATTCCTAGAGCTTCCCACTAAAGCTTCTAACTTACTATCCATAAAATCTATAGGCCTTGGGTTTTCTAGCATACCGATATTATACTTGCTATCCATGAAGTTAGAGGTTGCAATTGTTCCTTGTGAACCAAGTATGTTATTTAGGTGTGAAAATTGCACCTCAGGAAATGAAAGTTGAAGATCAGTAGGATTGTGAGAGGATGATGATCCAGGGTTAATTTGGTTAACTGATTGATCGTTTGATTTCTTAGACACTTTCTTGTTCTTTCTACATCCACCACCCACAGGGATGTTCCTCAGGGTGCCTCCTTTGGTCCAGTACCTCCTGCAAGTCTTGCAAAAGTACCTTGGCTGGGAGAGGCTGTAGTTGTTGTAGTAACAAAATTTGGTGTGTGTTGAGTCACACCTAGGGCATTTGAGAGCTTGGTCATGTGGGGGCCTAAGCCTTCTCTCTATCAAGGGCCTTGAACAAGTGAGCATATCCCCAGATGGTGAAGAAGAATCCATTCCAGAATCATCGTTAATCGTGCCCTAAACACAATGGAAAGCAAGAAATTTAATGGGGAAATGTGTCAGGTAATTTACAATAGCGCAACGGACAAGAGGGAAGAAATTATCTTGTCTTTTCATGCTTCGAGGTATCAATAATGTGCCCATAAGGACTAGACATTCTTTTGCCGTTTTAGAACATATAAATTAGAATGTCATGTCATGAACGCTAAAAAATTGCAAAAAATACAGTGAAGCCAAGAACTTCTCTCTAAACATGTACTTCTAAATCTAGTAAAAACAGATTATGATCAATATTTTGGAGCCTGAAATACATTTTTTTTCTGCATTAATGAGTTTTAATATAGCTCTACAATGAACATTATGAATATTCTTTTAAGTAGTAATGTATATATATGAAAAGAAGAGTAAAATCCCATCCCCATTTACTATATATATACATTGACAGGATTAATGTATCTCACTAGCTAGTTTAAACCATAAGAAAATGACAGGCTTTTCTACGGTGAATTGTCCATTTATTCTACTCATCTTATTTAGAATAATGCAGAATAATTTTTCACACTGTGAGGTGGAAGTGAAAATGCCTTGTGATGGGAGTGTACGAGCTAGATGCAGAGTTTCAAATTTCCAAAAGGAGAACATATCATACCTGCAGCCAATCATTTGAATCCATGCAAACTTGCAGTGAAGTAAGACCCATTAAAACGCAGAACCAAAAGGCACAAACACACGGTTTTGGGTGTGTATATAGCGGTCACCAACTTCCCTTCCCTAATTCAGCCACACTTTATCATTACTTTCATTTGTCTAACCTTGATGCATATTAGCGCTTCTAAGAGCTAGATAGTGAGAGAGGGATGGGGGGGAGGGGGGGGGGGGGGAAGGGGGGGGAGGGAGAGAGAGAGAGAGGGAGAGAGAGAGAGAGAGGGAGAGAGAGAGAGAGGGAGAGAGAGAGAGAGGGAGAGAGAGAGAGAGGGAGAGAGAGAGAGAGGGAGAGAGAGAGAGAGGGAGAGAGAGAGAGAGAGAGAGAGAGAGGAGTAGATGGGAGTGAGAATTGGATTGTCAGGTTGGATGGATATTGGAAGAATGGGGGTGGAGGGCAGTGAATAAGAAGGCAAGGAAAAGGTACTTCACTAGTACCGTAAAAAGAGAGAAGGGGAGGGAGAGAGACAAGGGTGATCAGCTCCTACTGCTCTACACTCATAAGTGTAGCTACGGTCCATATCCACAGTCGGTGGGCTTAAAACATTCGAAGGTCCCTACATTGTCTGTCCAATGCATGATAGAGGGACCCACTCATCATAGACCAAAACCTACTTCTCCTTAACATAACGAACGGCTGTGATGTCATTGGTTCTTTTAAGCTGTGACGATGAGAACGTTGGATTGTAAGTGGGGTGATGGTAACGTCAGAAATAGCGGCTTGGTCGTCACAAGGTCCAAATTATGTGACATGACAGAAGCTAAGTTGAAGACAGAGAGAGAATATGGATTTTGGGGTTTTCGATAAAGAAACAAGGGTAGGGCATACCGAAAGAGCACTCTAACTTGTGGGGCCAATTGAGTGGACCCACTCGCCTCCTCCCACAAGCAAAGGATCGATTCTCCTTACCATGCGCACCTCACGTGCCTTCCCCCTCTTCCCTTACCCCATGGCCGCTCTGTTCATCTGTTGTAGCAAATGCCAAGTGACACAGCCTTGGGCACTCTACATGCATGGCCTGACATCTTTGTTTCATAAGCGGAAACGTATAAATTGTTAAGGTATTCCAAAAGCTAGCAATATTGTTTGAAATGCCTGGGTTTATCTAAGAATTCCACCACGACATGTATTTGAGATTGTGAGCTTGTTGTATATTTCAATATTGGTAGGTTAAGAAGGTCATCTTACTCTAATTAATTAATCACATAATATACTGTAAGAAGGAGATTCAAATCTTAACTAATTTTCTCTTTTCCACCAAAACTCTACTTGTGTGCATAGAGCTGCTCATAATTCAAATGACAAATCGTTAACTAGATATATAGATTCGAAAGTACTAGATCGCTTGAGGTAAGGGATAGAATCATCGATCATGGTGAAACTTGCTTTGCCAAGGCAAGTAGATAGCGTGAGCAACACACTAAGCTTAGATCCAGCGCCTGAGAGGGCCCAAGGAACAAACAATCAGGTGAATAAATTAAAGTGTATGCGCCCCATGTTTCATGGGGTAAACTGACAGGTACTTCATGTAAGGAACAAAGACGAAGGAGAATGGAGAGCTATAATCTGATCTAGCTAACTATTAATTTCAATGCAGTAATTAGTACTGCTAATCATTATTTGTTTCTTTTTGGGTACAAATCAATGATAGGTTATACCCATTTTGATCGCTCTTCAAGATGGAAGCAGCAGCAGTTTATCATCATGGCCATAGCTCTGGGAAACCCAGCATAGCTTTCGATTTACTAATCATTTCCTTCACACAAGGGTTAGTCTATTATTGTCAAATCTAAAGGGTGATGCACTAGTGTTTAGGATCATGGTATCATTTGCTTTTTAAAAAAGATATATTTTTTTATATAATAATTAATTAATTTATTAATGAACAGTTATTCAGATAATAATTATGATTATAATAATCGAGAAAAATACTATAAATTAAAAAAAATTAAAAAAATTAAAAACAAATTCAATTGCACTATATTAAAATCATCTCTAAGTTTCGTTCCTCGTACACTTTCTACCTGTATTCATCATAAAAATGAATGCTTTCTACAAATAAGGTCAAATCCTTTATATGATAAATCAGAGTTACTAACCTTTATCCAACGATGCAGGCAATGAAAAATCAAACCAAAAACCGCATTCCAATTCACTATTTTGGCGTTAAAACAACTTAATTATGTGTGAGCCAAATTCCCCAAGCTATTCCAAAAAAACAAGACCTGACAAAACTTTTCCATCTTTCTAGTTGCACGCGTCCACCATTCATACAAAATGATTATCTATTGTCTTTGGGATACACCACACAACTCCCCACTAGAACAAATATGGACACCATTGTTTTCATGTGAATGGACATTGCAACAGCAGATGGTCTATGCTTTCCAGTTCTGTATCACAAAATAGGCACAAGGCTGCTTCATGTGAGAGTCAACAACGCTCAAATAATAATAAAAAAATTATTTAAAAATATATAAAAATTTTATTTTTGATACAAATACATCCAAACAATCCAATATATATATATATAGAGAGAGAGATATTAAAACAAAAATATTCAAAAATATTTTTTGAATGTAAAAACAAACACTCTCTAAGATAATAAACACAAAATACTACTATTTATGTAGATAATGCTCAAAAAGATCTTATTCTGATTTAAAACAAAAAAATTCAAAAGTGTTTTTTGGAGGGAAAAACAACACTCTCAAAGATATTAAACACGAACCGCTATTATTTATGTAGATAATGCTCAAAGAAATCTTATTCTGATTCTATTGACTTTGATTAAACGGTTTAAGATGTTCAAATTTGACAATTTAATTGTTTTAAATGAAGAGGATTATCAATCTCTTGCAATGTGAACGCAACCTTTGTGTTTCTTTAAACCTCAAGGAGTCGTAGCAGCCTTCAGAGCACTAACCCAAACACTTTTCGACCCATATGCTTATAAAACAATATATGCTACGGGACCTATACGCCCATTCTTGATTTATCCTTGATAGCGAAAAGGTGAGAGACCGACGTCTGACTGTGCATTCAAATGTCTGAAAGATATCTTACTTCAGCCATACGAAAACGAAACCTTAATATTCAAGGCAGTGGAATGATATTTACCCATGTTTGATTCATAATTCTAACCCTATAGGCATTTATAGGGCAGAAATTGTGTTCTTAATCCTACTCGATTTCATGGTGTGAAAAAGCAATCCATTTTGAAATATTTTTTTTCCATGATATTAAAACAATTAGAATATTTAAGTTTAAATCCTATAAAAATAAGGATAGGAGAAGATTATTCTCTTTTATAGACCAAGATGGGTTAGCCCTCTCAATCAACCTAAGAAAATAGATAAATCATGTTGCCATATCTTTTATGCATGTTTTATTCAATGCCTTAGAGGTTTCTTTTTTTAAACAAGTAAAATATTTAGAAGGGAAACATTTTTCGTTTAATAATCACCACCGCTCCTATTCCTCCATAGCAAACGTTACTTTCACACTAGCTAGCTTCAAGCTGATGATCAAATTACAATTTTCAAAAAATCATGGTACAGATAATGTAGGGTTTTTTTTCTTTTCCTTTTTGGTTGCTGTAAGAATAAAGAGAATATTTAGAAAAAATAGCTCAAACCTTCAAGGTTGAGATTTTGTTGTTTTTATAGTCAATATACAAGTTTTTAAAAAGAGTATTTAAATTTGTAACAAGTATATAATATCATACTTCTTGCCTAGTTTATAACCTAAACTCTAGCTAAGAGATAAAATCAATTGTCTAAATTATAGCTATACAAACAATCGTATGATGCCCTCTCAAGGTGATGGGGAGGATGCCACAACAACTTGTCATGAAGGAATGAAATGTGGAATGCCCTGTTAAGGTGATGGGGAGGATGCCACAGCAACTTGTCACGAAAGGAATGAAATGTGGAAGAAGGTAATTCTTTGGTAAAAAGATTAGCAAGCTAATTGTTGGAGCGGACAAATAAGACTTCAAAAAAGCTAGTGGAGACCAATTCATGGATAAAATGATAAGACAATTCAATGTGTTTGGTATAAATATGGAACACAGAATTGTGTGCTAATTGAGTTGCACCCATGTTGTTAGAGTATAGTGTGCAATGTAGATGAGTGTTATAGCCAATGTCACAAAGGATATAAGAAATCCATAAGAGATCTATAGAAGCATAAGTGAGGGCTTTATACTCAGATTTTGTGCTAGAAAGTGCTACTATTAATTGTTTCTTGGCACTTAAAGAAATTATATTAGAGCCAAGAAAAACATAGTGACCCATAGTGGAGCGACGAGTGTTAAGGTAACCTGTTCAATTGGCATCAACCAAGCAAGTCAATTTAGGATGTAGATTAGCATAGAAGTAAATGTCAGCACCAAGGGTACCTTTAAGGTAACACAAAATATGCTTAAAGACTTAGAGGTGAGCATCACATGGATTTTACATAAATTAACAGACCTATTGAACTAACTAAGAGATATCTGGTCATATGAAGGTGAGATATTGTAGAGCTCCCACTATACAACAATATTTATGGGGATCTAGTAATATATGGCCATCAAAATTAGAAAGTTTTCGACTAGTGATAACAATAGATGACAAGAGTAGATTGTGGTTTGTAGTCAAACATGTTGGCAAATTTAAATATACAAAGTTAATACTTAGTTTCCATAAGATGAAGCTGGGTTGAGGTACAATGGACCTCAAGGCCAAGGAAATAATGAAGATCACTAAGGTCTTTCATATGAAAGGGTTTAGAAAGTTGATCAATAATGTGATTACCAAGATAATCTAAAAGGCCTGTAATAATGATATCATCAACATAAATAAGAAGTAATATGATGCTAGCTATCATAATCCAATTTTAGGTTATTTCCTAAAATTTAATTTCCTTTAAAAATAAAAAAATAATAATAAAGGCTGACAATGTGAAGAAAGCAAATCAAGGAATCATGCTATAATTTTAAAGAAAATTCAAATCCTAATTGTATCCCATTAAGCCTAAAAATAAAGAAAAAATACAAATTCAAGGTCAAATTAGATGATTATTGGATGAATTTGCATAAAAATTAAGTTAAAAGACACAATTAAATTTTTAATAAGCCAATTTGATTTAATCATGGGCCAAATTGAATTTTA